CTGCAGAGTGCACTAGAAGATCTTTGTGATCATGAAGATGACTGGCAACAAGCAGGATCAGACTCAGCAACTGGAAGACCCTATCCCTTGGCAGGTGGCATCTTGTGTGAGTGGAGGCTCTGCCCACACCTTGGGCCACAGACAGGTGGGAAATGGGAGCTGAATCCCAGACCTGCTTTTGAATTTCACCTGAAGTTCAATAACTGGTGTCTTTGTCACCTGGCTGGATTTTTGCCTGTGGATTTTCTATTTGTACTACTGTGAAAATATTTTTCTTCACAATGGTGTTTCCACGGGGAGAATCCTTGTCTCCATTGTAACCTCCGTGAGGGTGGTGTCAGAAGTTCATCTGTGGAGTGTACTGCATCTTGCTTTGCAGTCTTCAGTATAAAGTAAAGTAAAAGATGTTATTCTTTTTCTGGTCCTGTTTTTGCCCTGACATGGCACCATCCCATTGCCTGAAAAGTGGGCAGAGCCATATAGGTGTGATCACGGATTTGATAAAGCCACTAGGATTTATTGATCAAGTGAGAAGCACTGGATGGGACATAGCATGGCAACATCATGGAAGTTGTTCTGTGGCAGGGTGGAGAATGGCTACTGGCAGAGGAGGAAGGAAAAGGATGATTTTTCTAGTGGGTGAGACAGGAATAAGGTTGCTTGAACAGCTGGGGTTGTTGAGCATGAAAATGATGGAAGGATGTTATGGAGGCACAAGCAGGAGGAGGAGAGGCAGAGCCAGGTCCTCAGCTAACATTGCTGGGTATTTTTAGGACTGCTTCCTGAGAGTGCTTTTTGTATATAAACAGACAAGGTTCCAGGAGGCAGCAGTGAGGGGGAGTGGTGTAACTCAATGATACTTGTACTGCAAATAGTACATTGCAAAGAGCAAATTATGTGACTTTATTAAACTGCAGCCTCCTGCAACAGATCAAAGGGTCTGGTTTCTAAGCAAAGTAATTGTAGCCTAAAGAAAACTTAACTGTTAAAAGCCTCACAGGCCCTAGATTACTGTTTGACTTGGCTTCAGGAGCTCCATATACTCTTAAAACCTTAGACTATCAAGTATATTTGCAAAACAACAAGCTATAAGCCTTTCTTCACAGTAACGTGTAGATCAGCCTTGTTATTGGGAAAACACAAGAAAAAACAGGAGGATTATGTGTGGCAGGTGGACTTGACAGTGCTTTGTAATTCTGGAGGGGCTGTCAGTAGCAGGGCAGATCTGATCAAGACATCAGGGTTATGCAGAAGAAAGTCACCTGCTCTTCGTGGGCAGCAGTGCTGAAGTTGAAGCAAAAGTGTGAGCCACTGCCTCAAGTGGAACCAGGCCAATGTAACACCAGGACCAGGGGATCTGCCTGTGAGCCTGCTTGCCTCCATCCTCACCTACAAGGGCTGTGTGTTACTTAGGGTACTGTACTCGAAGAGTGGTCATGTGTATGCTGAAGGTCATGAACAAAATGGTTACTCTGTCATGTGGTCAGCTTAGGCTTGGTACCCAACCATGACAAGTCAGTCTTTGCCACACTTAGTTTTTCAGCTTTGTAAGTCTATTCTGGTCCCAGTTCAGATTTTCTCTCTCTCTCTCTCTCTCTTCCTCTCTTTCTCTTTTTGGCAAGACAAAAAGGGCTAAAGTTGTGAATTAGGAAGGTCCCAGAGGAGGGCCATCCTTGCTACAGCAACTCCAAAGCTACCTTGGCAAGGAGGAATGAATTAATGCACCTGCAAGAAATAGGCTGACACTCTTAGCTGTTGCCACTACACATCATGGGTACCTGGGGGGTATCCTGGCTGACATTTCTTTCATGGGAAACCTATCGTTGGCATCATCTTTTTCCATGCGACTTGTTGAAAATTTCTGTCCTCTCTTCCCTTGGCTCCTTGCAGAGCAGATTTATGGTCCCACTTTCCTTTTACAAATAAAACCCTAAGTGCAAATCCAAAGGATAAATAACGCAGTGCAGACGTGCCTGCAGCAATATCCTCTATATTTATCATTGCTGAGAGTCTGGGAGGAAAAGCTGGTGAAGGCAAGATATCTTATGTGAGAAAACTGCTCTCATGCTCTCATGCCAATTCTGGAGGCTGGAGAGCACTCCTGTTGTGCTTTTCCCCAAACATCCTGCTGCAGCTCAGGAAACTCCAGGTGCCTTGTCTAAGACATCCATCCTCCCTCACAGGCTTACTGTGTGGGAAGTACACCAGCTCCACCATGGTGCAGGAGGTTGCTCCTTCATAAGCACATACAGTGGGTAAGTGTAAACAAACCTCAGTGTTTGCTCTGTGCTGGGTAAGAAGTATGCAACATCAATGCTGCTCTGTCCATTAATGCATCGGAATCTGCTGTTCTGATCACTTCCACCCTGCCTGCAATCTCAACTGACATTGCTTTTGGCAGGTAATATTTAGCTATGGCACTGGGCAAGTGTGATTACAGCAGAGGCCCTACACCTGCAGGGGACTGAGTGGGGCTTCTTCTGCCTGACTGCAGCAGCAAATTGACAGCTATATGCCAGGGCCAAATGCTGTGTTGTTAGCAGGGATGGCTGTGGTGGAAAAAAGCTATTCCTTGTTTCTTGGGCCAAGCTGGTGGCTTGCAAGAAGTCAGCAACTCTGGATCTTGAAATTGCAGCACAAGGTGTACCTGGAACTACCCCCAATATTGTTTTCAATCTCTTTGTGTTGACTCCAGCTGTAATTCTAAGACACTTTTGCTTAACTAAGCCCAAGGGCAATAAGCCATTTGAGTGTGCAATACGTGTGGGTTGGAAATTAGGACTGCTTAATTGTCATAAGCTACAGAGCCTGCTCCTGTGTCCCTGCCAGGCCACCTCCATGATGCTGCAGCGCTTGCATCGAGGGAAGGTGATGGTGGGCTCAGGTATCCTCATCTGCTGAAGGGTGGAGAAACTGCAACGAGGCATGGGGGACCTGCCTCCTATTGTCTGAAATTTACAGCAATCTGGAACCAGCTCAGACTCTTCTAGAAAGAGATTTTTTTTTTGTCCTGGGCTTGAATAGCTACTTTATTGTCTTAGAGACAGTGTTTCTGACCTTTTGTTCTTCATTGTTTGGTCAGGGTTTTCCAGGTTGAAGAGGAAGCTTCCACCTGTGAAAACAGTGACATACAGCCATCAGCCCTGCTTTGCCAGTGCCCTGGCTTTCCCAGCAGGCTACAGCTCCATCCTGACTTTGCTCCCAGTTGCAAGTCACACATGGCAGGGGAACTTACGGCTGTCCATGGCCAGCTGAAATAGTCCTGCAGTGGCCAGCAGGCCTCAGCTGGGGTAAATGTAGACTCGGTCACTCTGAGAAGTTACTCACTTTAAGTTCTACCCTGCAAACCACAGATGTTTCCAGATGTGCAGCTTGCTGAGAATTATGGCCTGTCCTGATGGGCTCAATGCAGAATGATTTTGGACCGCTGTGTTTCATATGCTCCTTCTGCTTTAATGTAGTGCCATTTGGCTTGGCATAGGCTCAGTTACAGAGACTTGAAGGCAGCGATTCGTAAGGCAACTAAAAAGACTACTTGCAAAACAGCTTCAGTGTAGTCTGTGATAAAAAATGATCCCCAGACAGACCAAGGTGGAGGAGGCTCAAGTGCCAGGAGTGGTTCCACCACCATGCTCACTGAAATCTAATCTCCTTGCTGTGGTGGCCAGGGAGAGGCCTGTGAAACCTATAAGTTCACTGATTGTTTTTCTTTTTTCTTTCTTTTCCATCATTATAGCTATGACCTCCCTTCTGGCCACTTACTTCAGCCTCAAGGGCTGGGACCCTTTCTGCAAGGAAGACCCATCTCTCTGTTCCCTGAGAGGAAATAAGTCTGTAGCATTGCTTGTGTTTTACTTACTATGTTTAGAGAAATGGAAACACCACGTGAATTTCTCTATAGGCTCTGCGGGGAAATCATGTTTCCATATTGCATTATGAGAAATGCAGTGGAAGTGTGCTATGCTCAGTTAATTTTTTTAATGTATGGAGGCAAAAGAAACTTCAGTTCAGAATGAGTATATGATTTTCTCTTTCTATCCAACATCCGTAGTGCTATAAATACAAACTGCAGGGTACTTTCAGAACTGCAAGCCTTTAAGACCTCTCAAGGGAAAACATCACACCAAATTAATCTGCCGTCAAGTGGAAATTCTATATTGTTTGCATTTGCCAATGTTCTGTATGTGGCTGTAATTGCGCTGAAGCAAATATCTGCTTAGAGTTCTTCACAAGATTAAATGTGGCCAATTGGGCGTAAAAGAGTAATTGAAATGCAGAGCTGCTGCTTTGGATTTGTTAGAGGCATTGCTCATTTTTGCTCTGACACAATGACATTAAGTTCTGGTTTTCCATTAAAACAGGGAAATTTGGGGAATGTGATTTGGAGCATCTGGTTGCAAGCCAAGTGGAGGATGTTTGTCTGGCACTGCTGCTGCCCCGCAGTGCACCGTTGGGCAGTGTGCCCTGAGCGTGCCCCCTGCTTTGCAAGGGGCCACCTTCCTTCCCTCTTGACCAGCAGTGAGGCTGGTGGTAGCCATGCCCCAGGGCGCAGCATCTGGCTGGGACCTCCAGTGTCGGCTCCTGAGGATTTCGTGGTCTTTTTAAGTTCTGAGTGTTTGCCATACATTTGAAATAAAAGGACGTGTGGAGGTCCCAGAAAGAGCCTCCATGGCTTTTAAAGTGGGAGCCCAAGGTCTGAGCTGGATCCTGACTAGTGTCACTGTGTCAGACTAAAGGAGCATGTCAGCTTGCAAAACCTGAAGTCTCACCCTAAGCCAGCTGGATGTGAAATGTTAAAGATTTGCTGAAAACCCTCATACTTTCTTTCTCTTTTTACTAGTTTAGCCATTTTCCCTCTTGCATTATAAATGAAATTATAAGCAAGTAAAAAGTCTTTTTTTAAGTTGACTGTAGTGCCTTTTAATTCTGCATGAAAACCCAACTGCTCCCTATGCCCTGCCCAACAGGTAGTTAAATAATCAGGCCCAGGTGGGCAAAACTGCCAGTTTGAATCCTTTTTTATTTCATTTTCTTTCTAATTAGTAGGCTTATCCAAAAAACACATACTAAATTCCTATGAGCTTGTACATGCTCAGCCATCTCCCAGGGTGTTTCTTAGTGCAGCAGCTATGGATGGAGTAGTCTTGACAGCATCCTTGCATTGTCTTCAGTGAGGGCAGCATCTCTCAGTATGGTGCCAAGAGCCATGTCCCCTTGGCACTAGCAGAGTGCTGCTCTTCTGCCTTGCCTCCTTCCTAACCGGAGATCCAACTCCCAAAGCTGCTTGAGGAAGCCGGAGTTGGGGCAGATCCCTCTGTGTGAACGCACAGTCTGAATTGCATCAGCAAGGGACATATCTTCACAGATCATTAAGAAAGCGAGGACAAGAGTTGCAGATCGACTGATTCCCATTCCGCAGTGAACTAGTACTTTGCCTGGAAAAAAGGAGAGAGAGATGGGATTATGCCAGGAGGCCAAATGGTGGGGTTTATTGTGCTGGAGCAGAGATGGAAGTGGTGCTGACACTGAGGCTAAGCGAGCCAGCCAGTGTGCTCAGCCCTGCAGAGCAGACCTGGGGCAGTGCTGGTTGGAGAACGATGCATTTTTTAATGGCTGAGAACAGAAAATTCGTAGCTGTATTCCGGGATCCATATTTGGGCTTATCTATCAGCCTGATGGCATGCCCCTCATCCTCCTGCCCAGCCTGCATCTATGGTGCCCCTGCACATGTGGTTTGGGGAGTGATGTGCTTGCTAGCAAAGTTTCAAGTTGTCATAATTGAAGGCCATGCTATGGGAAGCAGCCTTGGCGGGTTACTTCCTACCGGTAGGCCTGGAAACTTGGGATTTCAAAAGTGCTCAGGAGTGCTTGCTGTTATTACAGGAATACTCCTGTTTTTTTCCCCAAGCTCTTTTTAATTCTTTGCTTAGGGTAGTAATGCTTTATGCTTTCTGAGGGTGCTCACTGCTGCCCAGACCTTGTTGGAATTGTGTACCATTAAGAACCGTTCCTCTTTGTATATGCCATTTGCATCAGCTCATGGGTTTTTATTTTTATAGCTTACCCGGTACATCTCTAGTCACTATGCTTCCCTAATGCCTAATGATCACCTAATCCCTTCTGTATTAGGTGATCACTAGAGAAACAATTCATGACATGCCTCCAGTTCCCCAGAGATTTCAGTGTGAGGTCTGGAACTTCATTAAGAGTAATACCATGAGTCCTCCCATGTTGCTGTGAGCGAGCTTCAGGGAAGACCTTCCAGGGATGTAAGAGTATATCTCCCTCCTTCTGTCTCCTTTGCTTTCCTTTTTTCTGCTGTGATTGCTTATGGAAGCAGCCTGAGAAATGCAGTTCTGTATCATGACTGCTTCCTGGTGTCTAATGTGTGTCTGACCCGTGCTGGAAGGAGGTAAACACTTTTTAAAATGGTCTTATGTGAAATTAAAGGAAGTTTTGTCAGAAGATCAAGTTTGTAGTTCTTTCCCTCTGCATGTGAACAAAGAGCTCATTCTGGAACATGAAAACCTGCATCTTGTACACGTTGTGAAATGATTCAAGCTTCACAAAAAGGTATGATCCAATGAGAAATCTTTAATTGGAAAAAAGAGAGTTCTGATTTTTGGCTCAATTATAGCCATGCCTGAAAAAACTCTTTCCTTTCTGCAGTCACATCTAGGCTTTTCACAGAGCCCATAGCTCAGCAATTGGGCATTATTAAACTAACAGAGACTAGACTCAGGTTTGAACTTCTGACCACCTAATGGACAGTTCTGTCACCCATTAAGGCAGCTGAATGAAAATGTTGCCGTCTTAGCATGGAGACGCCAGGACCCTTTTGACTGGCAATCTTCCCTAGTCTGAAACAAAGATTTTCTGCCTTTTTTTTTTTAATCTTTATTTTTTTAGCCTGTCACATTTGTGGTCTCTCATTTACCAACTGTAAAGCTGCAGCAAATGCAATTTAACAACAACACAATTTATATCCAGAAAAAAATGAAAATCGGTAATAATCATCCCAGGTTGTTTTTTTCCCTTTGGACATGGAATAAAGGGTCTCAGAAGCTGCTTCTCTCTAAAATGTGAGGAAGGGTTCAAAGAATGGGTAGTTTTTCTGGGCTAATTCCTTGTTTTGTTTGTGCTTACAGCATCTTAATTTCTCTATTAGCAGTGAGTGAGACAAAAATACCCTTGTTGGATGATAAGCCTAGATCCAGCCAAAACCCTCAGACTGATTGCCCCCATCTTCCTGGGTGTTAATTCTGGGTACTTTGTGCCCAGCTTTTAATCTTAAATCCCATTTTGTTTGTGACAGAGTATTTATTTAGCAACTGCTCCAGTTCTGACTAATGATGATGGCATAGCCACATGCTCAGAGAGCACGAGCATGTGTTGTGAAAACCTGCTCTGGCCAGCAGGTTGAGGGAAGTGTTGAATTCCACAATGTATGTGACACAGCCACCTTTCATTATCCTGGCATGAGAAATCTGAGCTCAGCCCTAAAGATAGACATGTCTTCAGTAGAAATAAAGGGACAAATATAGTCACCAAGGAAGCAGCGAAAACAGCTCTGTGATAGCAGACTGGACTGGGTGTCAAAACCTTTGGGGGAAGGAAAAGGGTTTTCCAACATCATGTCAGTTTTGCAGAATTAGAAGATCAAGTGATTTCTGTTTGTGTTTTCCTATTCAGATACAGCTTCACAGGATTTTACTGAGATACAATTTACTGCCATTAACTCCATGGGGATTCTTGGAAGTGAAGTCCTACTTTTCATGGCAGTGTGGAGAAAAGCTTTGCACCCCTGCTAAAGATAATGCTAATTTGAATTTTCACTAGACTTTTTTTCAGTGTGCTTTCAATGTTTTTCATTAGCCTTCACATCAGCCTCGTGGGATATGGATGCCGAATTACCTTCCCCAGAGGAGGCACTTCAGACCCAAATAACCCAGTCCTGAGATTTTCCTGGTAAAGAAACCAGGAGCAGAATGTCTCTTTGACAAATACTGTGAATAGGGCTGAGACCAAAAAGTCTTTGGAAAATGCATGCTTCACTAGTCTGCAGTAGGCCTGACTGCAACATAGTGCCAGGGGCTGGTCTGAAAATTTCTAAGCTACCCACACTCTACAACTGCACCAGGAAGGGAGGGGAGACAAAGAAAAAACAACCAGAAAGGGATGGTCTTGATGTTGGATTTGATTTTGAGTCAGTAAATATTTCAAAATTGAATCTGTTTGGCTGGAAATTGGACAGGGGACAGGACACTTGTCCTGAACCTCATTTCTGTAAAGTTGTTGGGTCCATTTTTTTTCCACCCAGATGGAGCTTTCTGCCTTGGGAAATGCTCAGCACCACCTGCAGTCTGGAACTGAAGATGGAGCTGAGTACAGATAAGGATGCTGCTGCTGAGTGTTTTTGTTAGGGGCACAGAAAGCAGAATAAATTCCAAGCCCCTGCTTGTATAGGCTGGCTCTCTAATGGTTTATATCTAGCTCTGTATCTGGGAGCAGGAGGTGGTGAGTAAGAGCACACTGAATTTTCTTCCTTGCATCTCTAGCTTATCTTCACTTCAGGAGAGTTGTCCTAGGTCAACACCTGGACAAGCCCCAACTATTGACCTTGAATCTTATCTGCATGGCTCTCTAAGACACTGGTTCCCATGAGGATGCAGGTATATTATCTTTTTCACACGTGCAGAATCTATTCCACATTGTTAGCCTTTGTTTCACCATGCACAGAGGTTACAATAAATGCTGGTACACTGACAATAAAATGACTGTTTGTTACAGATAAATCAGTCATGTGAAATGATTTAATTAATGTAAAATTGCTCTAATGAAAGCAGATTTGAATTTACTATGTGATTATTTGTAGCAAACAAACTGAATGTTAAACTTGAGTCAGGAAACAAAAGCTGTGTTGCTGTTTGGTTCTGTTTACAGGCTCAGGCCCTTGTCTCTTAGCAGTATCTGTAAATGGGTTAAGTGGCACTCTGAACCCACCATGATATACTGCATTTGACGAGCGCCTGAAGCATGTCTGCACCATGTGGGCTGTCTGCAGTGGGCTTGGTAACATGTGTGGCATCAGCCTCTCATGGGAGGCTCGGGTTCCCGGGTGGCTGCTGGACCACAGCCTGGGAAAGCAGCATTCGCAGAGGCAGTCGTGGTGCATACCCCTGTCATGGGGTGGGCAAGGAAGTTATAACCACATCTTCTGTACCACACAATCTATGCCGCGAGCATAGCATTCTCCAACTGTGCCTTCCCTGTCCCCATTTGTTTTAACATACAGTGCAAAGAGAAGTAGGACTGATCCCACATTAGAGGGCCATGTTGCAACCTTCTCTCTGAGCGTGTAACAGGATCCCTTAGGAATAATGGGATTAACTAAAGAGAAGTGGGGGCACTTAGCTTCTGCCATTATTAAATCTTGCAATCCTTACTTGAAATTTTGCATCGCGCATCTCAAGCTGCATTTAGCAGAGGCAGACAATAACTGTCATCTGCCTGGGATTTGTGCAGAACAATAACACTTGGTTTTTAACAACGGATTATGGATATTATATCCAGCTCATGCCTGCTGTAACTCCACTGACATCAAAGGGTTTGCACTAGGGATAAAGTTTGCACATTCAAGTTTGTTGGCCAAATTCAAGTTGGGAAATTCAATGTTGTTGAACAAATCAGTCATTAAAAAGCATAATATCTTATTGTTCTTTTGCACTCATCATTAACTGAGCTAAATGTCCTGAGCTAGCCTTTGCTTTATTGCAGCATGGATTCGATTTGGCATAAGACCAGGCTTGAGATCTGTCATCTGGAGTGAGCACCCCAGCTACCCTCATTCCATTGAATCCAGCAGAATTATGCTGCTCACCAGGAGGAGAGCTCAGGTGGGCTGGAGGGCCCCAGGGGCTCTTCCTGCTCCACTGTGGTTTTCTCATCTCCTGTTACCTTTTAGCCACCATCCTGTAGCCAGGTGCAGAATCAATTGTCTTTTTCTTGATTATTCAAGTGTCTATTGTGTCACAGCTGAAAATAGCAAGCAGCCTACAGAGAGATCTAAGTGGTGCCGTGTCCCTTCTTCCTACGCCTCCTGGAACAGGTAAGGGCTGTCATCTGCTGGAGTGTGGGAGGTCAAACTGATGTATGTGATGCTCCTGCAGCAGAGTCAAGAGAGGGGAGCCTTCTTCTCCTAAGTTAAGGTTCTTTCATAATCACCACCACCAAGAAGGCAGCAGGAGAGGAAGGCTGGCTTTTGATTTTCTTTGGTGAAGTGGAAGAAGGAGATGCCTCTGAGAGGGTTTGCCATTTCAGGAATTTAATGGACGATTTTAACTTGCCTGTTGTAAACATGTCCGAAGGTCAGTAAAAGGAGAAGCTGTCTACTTCAGAATCTGTCTCTCTGGATGGTGTTAGTTTAATAATTTTCATGGTGTGCTTTCATGTATGCTCTCAAGTTCTCTCTCCCTCCCTCTTCCACTAGACTTTACCAAACCCTCCTAATTTAAGCTTAGGTTTAGCTGCGCTCCAGAAAAAAAGCAGGTTGTACAGACGGCCGTGCAAAATGGCAAGATTGATATTCAAGTTGTTGCCCCTTGAGCATGAGCATGAGGGAGAAGGCCAGTACTTCCCTGTCTGTGATTTCCTTGCAGAGAAGAGGGCAGATTGCGTATCTGCTTGCTCTTGGCTGGGCCTTCCCAAACAGCTCCGTTAGGTGGGCAAAGGAACAGCAGGGCTGTGCTGAAGGAAAGGCAGCCAAGGAAGCAGGTTTCATAAAATAATGATTATATGGTATGGCTGCAATTGTAGTGCATGTATTTCTTAGTCTGTATCACAAAGATGATGAAGGAAGTCATTCAGGGTATGAGGCAGCCACTAACCACTGTAAAGGAATAACTCCCAATCAGGAGCATGTGGGTGCGTGCTCCTCTGCTTCCTTTTGCTCATGCTCTGGCATCCAGGTTTGAAGAAATTCCCTTAAAAAAAAATTCCTTATATCACCAAAGACACATTCTGTTCAGCTAAGCTGGAAATATACAATAAATCTGACCAAGCTGTTTTCTGGACTTCTGGTATAAGGCATCAGATTTTTTCTTCAAGTGCGATAGGAGTAATGATTCTTACTTAATTCTAACAAGTATTTGATTCATAGTTTTAAGTATGCTTGTGCCTCATACAGTCTTAACTTTGACTTATCCTCCCAGGTGAAAAAGATAATCTAATTGCATTAAAAAAAATGTTAAATTTGTTTGTAATAGTTAAGAAGCAGTTTTAAATGACTTCTCAATCAAACAGAAGTACCTTGTTACATCCTGAATTTAATATGAACAGGCCTCTTGTCACCTGGTATCATTTTTTGTTCAGCATCACTCCTTATAATAAATGCTATTTTTTCTTTTCTTCTAAATGATGTGAGTAACAGTCCCCTCCCTGTCTCATCCCTGCACAGGTCATGGGTATTTAGCTGCTAAATTTCTGTAGCTCAGAAAATTATGCTTCCAGAACATCTTGTTTATATATTTTCTAAACTGTTGCACTTCCTTAAAATGATGAATGTCAGCAACAGCTGGACTATGTATGATTGAATTTCACCTTGTCTCCATTCCGAGAACCCTGCTTCCATATGGAGTTCAGTAAAGTAATATCTAAAAGCAGGGAAGTAGGGATTGAGCCCTAACTTCTTCTGCACTCATAACTTCCAGTATTTGGCAACCATCTTGCCAAGGACTGGTTTTGTTTGCTTTTGTGGCCACCAGGATTCATCTGGGTTTTCTGTCTTTTATCAATTGATTTGGAACATTTTTTTTCTTACACATGCATTAATAGATTTGGATCTTACCTTTCTCTGGAGCACCAACAATCATTTCTTCAGTTGCAAATAGCAATAGAAATGGGTGCAGATCCAAGTTCCCCAAACATGTTAGTGGTTTTGAAATCCAAATGTAGCCCTCAGTTGCATAAAGGCAAATACTGTCTAATGGGATGGATTAAGCCCTCCAAACAGCAGTAAAAGCTGAGGCATCTAGCACAGAGGCACACTATTTTTCACTATTGTGTCTCCCTTTCCTAGCTTGTGTGGTATGGATCGGCTCTGCTAGTTGCACATGATTAACCTGGGTAGCTAGTGGTTTAGGACTCTCATTGATTTTGAAGCTCACCATGATGCAAGCAAAACAGTTTGAGTGCACAGCTGTTCTCTTAATAAATCATGTCTGAGTGGGTATCTGTACAGTTTTGAGACACAGTGGAGACTTTTGTCAAGGTTTGTCCTTAATAATAAGATCCCCCACTACCTCCAGGCCTCTGGTATTGTACTTGGCCTGTGTTTATCAAGTCCAAGGCTTTTGCAGGCTATTTTCCTATTCCAAGGTTATATGCTCTCTAGCAATAGCATTATCTCCTGGCTGGTGGTGTTGCTTAGGTCCTCTTCTACAGGACTGCTTCCCAGCAAGTTCTGCCCTATCCTGTGTTTGCGGGACTTGCACAGCATTATAGTTGACTCTTATTCAAGTGTGATACTTGCCCTTCTCTTTTTACCCCATCCTAGCCTATATTTTAAACCCCATCACTACTTTGAAAAGATCAACTCTATGTGTCTCCTCCCAGGTCAGTGTTTCCCTAGAGATAATAAAACATGCTTGCTATTTTGGTGGGGTTTTTTTGCTAAGCAATAGCACTAGGCATATGGAAAGCCCCTTCGAAAGCCTTGTCAGTGCATCCTTCCTTGTTTCAGGGGAGCAAGGGAACTTCCACTCTGTGGCAGTTCAGGAGGCAGGTGTGATGCTAATTTGGGAGATCCCCAAACGAAGGTATTCTTACCTGTATCTGCAGGTGGTTATGCCAAATACTGTTTGATAACTTGCCCTACATGGCTGCTATGCAGAAGATACACAACATGCACAGATGGTCTAGTTACCTCTTGGGGAATTCAGCGCTGCTTTTATGTGTTGAGCAACTGGGTAGAAGTAAATGCTGAGATCAAAGTTTGGGTTGTCCTCCGCTTCTACTCCATAGTAATCCACAGGCAGGTCTTTGTAGAACTCGGGTCCAGTCTCGATGTGAGATCGCCTGGCAACGGCATTCACAACATGGGAGATGCCCATTCGGCTCAGCTGCTCTTTGTCACGAGCGATGTGCCTGGAAGAAAGACAGTTGGTTATATTCACCCGCTGCATGACGAAGGGTAGAACATGCTGCTGATAGTGCAGTTTGTTACAAACTGCATGAAGCTCTAGTGGCTATTTTCTGACAGGTTCATCAGGTCCAAACTGTCCACCAAAACGGTTCAAGACGGAAATGACCCATTAGGAAATTGATTTTCAGATTTCCTGTGGTTTTCTCCCAAACACCAGTTTAGGTGGCTCTTCTCAACTGATGAAAAATAAAAAGGTGCTGGTGCTTGTGATATTTCTCCATAAGCCAAGAGTTTTCTGGTTTGCCTTCTCAACAACTCACCTCTGCTGAGCATCCATCAGTTCAGGGGACTGATGCCATCTGTTAGTGTGAGGAGAAATGAGGCTGAACTTGTTTTACCTGCCTCTGGCATGATGGCCTTGAGTACCGGTGCCATGGCCCCACTAGGCTTTTGTAGTGTGGGACTTCTGTACTAATGGAGGAGGAGAAATCTGGAGAGGAAATACTCTTTTCAGATAGGATGCCTTTTCTCTGTGCTACAGCATCCTATGCACAGTCCAGGCTTGCTCAACACTTGGACTTACTTTCCACAGAGTGAAAGACTCGGGGGGGGGGGGGGGGGGGGTTGGGGGTGAAGTGAAGGAGAATTGGGTTGGAATTAAGAGTTGCATTAACACCTTCAACCCTTCCCTCTCTCTTACAGGTCTCCCAGGTAAAGGTTTGGCCAGACTTCATCCACGTGCCCTGTGGAGGGGATGTGTTTCCAGAGCAGGCACCGCAGCTCCTCCAGGGACAGCATTCCAGGATGGCTCCAGCTGCCAGGCGTCCGGCTTGAGGTACTCCTTATCCTGGGGTGCAGCAAGTCCCCGCTGCACAGGGTGTACCAGGCCATCCTGAAGGGTGGAGGGCAGACATTCACCGCAAGCCAGAGGCATCTCTGAGATGGCCCTCTCTTCCTCTCGCCTTCCCCTATCCCCTCACAAAGCTTGCCCACAGTTACAGTGGCTCACAGCAAGTGAGAGGGCAACCTCAGGGGCTGATAGTGTCTTTCTCTTGTACATTGACAGCTTATCACAGTAGAGGCCACAGCTGGACTTGGGAATACTGTTGCAATCTAAACAATGACAATCCAGTGGCTCATAGTCCCATGCTGTGATTTCAGTGCCTGTGCTTCTAAAGTAAGGTTTTACATTATTATGGTAAATTGGAAGCGAAAGCTTTTGCAAACCATGAGGCTCAAGGCCTAAGGCGGCTTATTTTGACCTGACTGCCCAACTTCTCTTTCTAGGTATGACAAACTCTTGATTAAAAGTTCATTATTATATTTTTAAAGATTATATTTTTTATAGGAAGTGGGAAAGTTCATACTATGTGGAATTGTAGACACTGTTGTTATTGCAGTGGAGCAGCCCAGCCCTTGATATGCCAGTGTGAGTTCTGCTTTCCTGTAGAAAGAGGTAATGCTGCAGGAAATGTTGGGTAAATGCAGCTACAAATGTAGCATTTGGTCATGAAAAATCTTACTCACTGGTAAGCTCTTAGTTGTCAGCTTCAACAGGGAAACTCTGTAAGGAGTATTTTGATTCTTTCCAGTAGCAGTTACCAGTCATATTTGTCCTCATGAACAATGTTCATTGTAGGAAAAGACCTACATGAGTAAGTTACAGTGATTCCAGCTGCCATTCATATGAGCATTAACCTGTTCACAGGTTGTTTCATTTGCTCTCCTCTCTGCCCCCTCCAAGAGCAATCCCATTTCTGATCTTGAAATAAGTGCTTCAGTTACAAGGAAAACCACTTTTTTAGGCTTCAGTTTATGTCTGTTCCCATGTGGGACATTTCTTTTGAAATAGTAGTTCCTTGTGTTACATACAGATTTGAACTGCTGGGAGGATTTTTTAAGAGGGGAATAGAAATTCTATTTTTACCAGAGTTCTGTTTTAAGAAAGCATTTCTTCTTCTATGTTCTAAACATTAGTCAAGCATCTGCATTACAGAGATATTAGGAAGTCTGTCAACTCATGCAGCTTTAGAACAGAAGCATCTGTTTAGGACATAGGTGAAGTTGTAGCCACTGAATCAAAGTCTTGCTCTGGAACTGTCTACTTGAATGACTTTTGCATAAACAATTAGAGGGATGGTTTGGGGTAGAACAGTCCAGGACAGCAAACCTGAAATCTTCCATCTTTTTGCTGAACATCTCTATCATGTTCAAGCACTCCTACTGACAATTTCTTTCCAAACACTACTGTGGTGAAAGGTTTTCCTGGTTTCCCATCAAGGTACGTTCACTAGCCCAAAGTTCACCTTTTGGTGTAATTTTGTCTAAAAATACTTGGGTTTGCATGCACAGACAGGGAGAAAGTAGCCTGCCCTGGCAGCTCATTGCACCTTTATACCAATGCATAGTTTTGCTGAAAGAGAAATGGAGCAACCAAGTCCCTGAAATGCTCACAGAAATGGAGGGAAGCGGTGGCTGTCTTGTCAGTGTTAGGCCACTGAATGCTGACTAGAAGCCACCCTTCTGCCATACACTGGGGGTGGTTTGCCTTGCGGCCCAGCTGCCAAGAGGGACTCTGCTGTTTTGGTATACCTTGCTCTGCTACCTTCCCAGGCAGCCTTGTCCTCTTAAATACAGTAAACTTTCACCAAATAATGATGTTCCCAGGATAGTTTTGTATTACTTGTATTACAAAAAGCTCTACTGTGAAATGTGCTTGCCTCCCAAATGTGCATATCTCCTCCAGTGTCAACTTTTACTGTGAAAACGAAAGCAGATGTTCTTGCCCATTTTGGATGGCTTTATACAAGAGGAGGCATGGAGGAATTCCCATACTGGAATGGACATCTCCTATTGATTTTGGTAGCTGATTTCACACTCTCCACCCCAGTTCTACTGTGTCTGTAATCTCAGGCATGATTTCTCTGATCCCATATAGGAAGTCTGCAGCAGAAATGGGACTTGCATTTCCTGTGTCCTGTCTGTAAGGCCGTCTGCGAGTTCCTTAAATACTTTCAAGAATAACAGCCTCCTTCCCACCTCGTAATATCTGCAGCAAATATTCCCCTTTTTGATGTATCTATCTCATTCCTTGCAGTGTGGCTAATGACCACTCTAGGGCAGGCACTTACTCCCAACAAAACTGCTTTCAATTGTTTCGGGTTTTTCTCTTATTTAGTACTCACCCTCTCCGCCATATAAATACTTTGATTTTCAGGACTGAAGGCTGCTGTCAGCCTTGTTTTCCTAAGCCTCATGGGAGTGGAGAAACACTTTTATGGGTACTGCCCAAAAGCCCTAGTAATGTTGTGTCTTTCAGCTGGGGAGGGACAGGCAGCAACTTACTCGCCCTGCCCTTGTGGGAGCTGTGCTCTCCAGGTCCATAACTCCATCCCTGTAACAGCTGGATGGACAACTGAGGTACAGCACACCTTGGGAAAAGTGCTTCTTCAGAGTTGTTGGGGGTTTTTGTTTGTTTGTTGGATATTGAAAGTTGTAGAATTACGGTCTTCGTAAGACAGGTGTGCTTCTTGGAATTGTCTTTAGATGACTTTCAGGTTGTGCTCACATTGATCTTGTATTATAGCTGAGAAGTTTACTCCTGTTGAAACACAGACATGAACTGCTGATGCCGTGTACAAAACATCTAATCTGCATTCTGGTCACATTATTTTTATTCGTGGAGAATAGCATCAGTTCATGTAAACTCTGTCCAATAAAAAGGAAGGACTGGGGTTCAGATTTCAAATGTGAAATAATTGGAACTAACAGGCTGTGAATGATTCAAAAGCAGAAAAGTCTCTGTAGGACTATTCAACTAATATGTTGAATAATGAATACACTGAAAAAAATAATAGCTTTCCATAGAAAATTCACAGACATGAAAACAAGGCAATTTTTTCCTGAGTAAATGACTGCTCAGTTCTAACACCAGCTTAATGTTTTAACTCACTAAATTTATACATGCAAGTGTCATTTACTGAAATGCACATATTTAAGGAAAACAATGCTACGATTAAAATTTTGTGTAATGTTTTATAAGGAGCATGAATAGATTAAAACAAATTAGTGTGAAAGGAAAATAATTATATGTAATAATGTGGTTGTTCTTCATTTTTAAATATGTTTTTAATGATCTCAGCTCAATTCCTCTATACCCACGTTTTGTAAGGGATCTGTTTCTGTGATGTGTGTCGTATGAATGAGCAATACAATTTTAAAATGCCAGTTTCTGAATGATATTCATATGAAATGTTCCTGATCTTTGCCCTACTGGAGTCGTATTGCAGTAATTATTCAATCGTGTAGGAGAAATTTAACATTATATTTAGATTAATTTGGGATTGGTTTGTACTACAACTGTAATTGTATCTGATCTCTGTAATAGAATTTCCTTAATTATGACTAGCAGGAGAATAGCAATCAAAGAAGCCTATCACAGAGCAGAAGGTCGTTCTGCTGATCTACAGTGACCTAGAGTATGACACAGGCCATACATATCACTGTGCCATGCCTGCATCTGTAGCTGCCTTTCTGGAAGCCGGTTAGTGCCTTTGCTGTAGTTAGGCTATGAAAGCAGCCAGGTCAATGGTTCCTTATAGAGGAGACTAACACAAGAAGAAAGGAAAGTGGTCCTGTAAGAGGCCCCAGAGAGAATCTTCTTCCTGACTGTTCAGGCTTCTTCTCGTCCGAGCACTGAATGCCCCTGTGGATTGCATACACTGTGGACACCTTGGTTGTTTTTCAGTTTGTTCAGTGACTACAGCTTTATCCGTAAGTGCTGTTCAATGCTGTGCTTGAGGGAAGGGCCCCAGTATCTCAGTCCTTGGAAACATGTGCCACCTTTTATTCAACTTCTCCAACACCACAGTATTTAAACAAGAACAAACTCAAAAGTCAGTGTAATTTGACAGTTTGGCATTATACTGGTATGAGATTAAGCTGAGAGGATGGTGTGAAGGGTGAGATGGCACAACACAAAGCCCTGGAGTATGATGCTGTGGGAAGTCAGGAGGAAAAACCAACTCTTGTGTCTAGGACATTTAGTAGAAAGCTTTTATATTCTCTGCTTTTCCTTGCATTTTCTAATGCCAAGATAAAGGAGGGATTTGAGTATAATACAAGGATGTCAGTGCTTTCATTTCAATGATGTATTGAATATTTTAATCATCCTAGTCGTTGTATTGGCTTTTGTGTATAGGTAAAATATAGCCATTTTCCTCTGGCTTTAGTAAAAATACTTCTGAATTTTTAAATCCTGAGAACAATATGCTCTACATCCTGCTTTTCTCAAGCCAGTATGTGCTGTAACCTTGTCATCTCAGTGAAGATATCAGTCTGACTGCGCTTCAAATAGGCTGATTTGTGGTGGTAAAAGACCAGGCTGAAGCCCAGGGCTTGGCCAAAGTAGGTCATGTCAAGTTCATGCCTATCGTGCATTCAAAAGCCATAAATGCTTCTCAGAAAGCCTATCCCTTGGAAAGATTCCTCCAAGATAACATATGTTTTAGAGAGGGTTTGTGTTGCTACATCTCTGCACAAATGACAAGTATTACTGTCATCATTCTTTCTTCCTTGATGTTTAACCCGATAGTCTCGCTGGAACCATAATTTATCAATTGCTAGGAGCGTTCTAGGATATAGATGGTATGAATCAAATACAGCGATGACTGAGGTAGGGCTGGCTGGACTTGAAAGCTGAGATAGAGGCAGTTTTCATGGAGGCACGAAGTATTTGAGTAGCCAACTGTTTGTAAGAAAATCTCTCCAGCAGCTGGAGGATGTAATCTGAACAGCACTTCCAAATTTAGTAGGGGCTTCCAGACCCACAACTTTAACTCAGCTATACATTTAGGGTAAGGCACCCACTTGGTGTGACTTGGCAAAATCCATTTAGGTGGACTTCCTTCCTACAGACCATGATGCAGCTCCTGTGCTGAGGAGTAGACTAATCTCTGTATCAGGAAGCTTTGAGGAGCACAAGGAAACGCAACTATCTGATAGGGGGTTTTCCCCTCAGTATTGCATTGGTACCAAATTCCCTGCCCTAAGTGGAAGAGGGATCATGACACCTCTCCTCTGTCCAAGTAGAATTTTCCTCTGTGGGACATCCAAGCAAATCAAATTTCTGATGCAAAGCACTACTCAGATGTAAGGAAGAAATTAATCAGCCCATCCTGGTTCTCAAATATGCTGAACTTACCACAGCTTCCAATGATGTTCCAGGCTGCCAGGCCTCAGAAGCCTCAAAAATGTCTAATTTCTTCATAGCAAGTCTGTGGGCCAGCCAGCAGGGCTCAGACCTTACTTGACAGTCAAGGCAAGAGCCTTGACTCTTTCAGGATGTACATAGTCATGCCGGCCCCAAGGCAGGGTGGCCTCACTTTTGTCTGTAACTGTAGTATAAAACATTCTCTTGTCATTAGCTG